GAGCATCATCATGCTCTCTAATGAACCGAGAAAAAGGGCAAATGTACAGACTGCAGAACGCTCAGAGTTTTTGTCTTTCTTTTTATAGAAAATTTTTTTAATAAATTAAACCTATGAAAGATACTTTTGGTTAAAAAATAAGACTAAAAGATTGAGAGTTTGCATATTAAAGAATATTGCTGACAAAAAAGAAATCTTTAAAGGTTTTTTTTATTTTGATTTAAAAAATTTTGAAGACTTCTTTTGTTTGTAATCATGTGTACGTGTGAGTGTATGTCACCTGTGCGCTGGTGCTGACGGAGGCCAGAAGGGCTCCAAATTCCCTGGAGCTGAATTTACAGGAGATTGTGAGCTGCCTGATGTGGGTGCTGGGAATTGAAGCCAGGTCCTCTGGAAGAGTAACCAGTGCTCTGGTTATAACTACTGAGTCATCTATGCAGTCTTTTATTTTGCTTTATGTACTTTTTCTCTTAAAGATGCTATCGAGGTTTTACAGGACTGAGTAGCCAGACTGACTAGGTGGGTAGGAGACAAGATCACAAGGGTCTTTAAAAATGCAGACTTTAAGACACTTTTTAAAAAAGGATGACCCAGGGAAAGAAATTCAGTTCTTTTTCTTACAGAAATGTGGTATCCACCAATTTTCTCTGCTTTTCCCTTTGACTTTACCCACAAAAGATCCCTCTACTTCCTGCCTGTCTTCTTTCCACATCCAGCACCACATGAGACTGGGGGGCAGGGGTGGGGAGAGCATCCAGTGGTGGATAAGGCAAGCTCCTGTTTGCAAAGCAAAGAAGTTCATTGGGATAGAAAACATATAAAAGCTTTTCTTTGTTTGGTGGGCCTTGCTGTGCCTTTAGAATAGAGAGAAGCTTTGTCACTTTCTCAAACGCTCTGAAAAAGACTGAAAGAGGATTGGAGAGCAATTAAAAGAAAGAGGTCACAGTTTCTTCGTGAAAAGAGAAGAGACCCGGAGGGGGAGACCCAGAGTTAGAGTTTCCAGAGGCAGAGCAACAATTTCAGTGTTTGGGGGTTGGGTAGGTCCGGCTGTGAAGTGCTTGCTCCACAAGCATGAGGACCCAGATTTGGATCCCCAGCCACAATATAAAAATACAATGTGATAATACAAGTCTGTAATTCCAGAACCGGAGAGACAGCGACAGGTAAATGTCTTCTGGGAGCGCATTAGTCAGCCAGACTTTGGAGTGACAGTATCTCAAAATAATGACACAGAGGGCAACTGAGGAAGCCATCCTATGTCAAACCTCTAACCTCCACCCATGCGTGCACTCACACATGTGCATGCATCATACATACAAAGATTTCAGTACTAATCATGATCCAAAGGAACAAAACAAAACAAAAACAAAAAGTAAAATGTTGCTGGGCAATAGTGGTGCACACCTTTAATCCCAGCACTCAGGAGACAAAGGCAAGAGAATCTCTGTGAGTTCGAGACCAGCCTGGTCTACAAGAGCTAGTTCCAAGACAGCTAGGGCTACACAGTGAAACCCTGTCTCGAAAAACAACAAAAAGGTGTAATGCATGAGATTACTGGATATTTGAAAGCTGACTTAAGGATATTAGAGATTTATCGTTAGTTATTTTAAATTTGATAGCAGCAGTATAATTATGCTTTTTTAAAGTTCTTATTTGGGGGGATCTGGAGAGATGGCTTAGTGGTTAAGAATACTGGCTGGTCTTCCAGAGGACAGAATTGGTTCTGAACACCCACATGGCAGCTCACAACCATCTGTAACTCCAGTACCCAGGGATCTGACACCCTCTACCGGTCTCTGTAGCCTCTTCTTTCCTCTGTAAAATCAAAATGGGATACCCTGAGCAAGTTGCCCAACAGACTAGCCAAATGGTGAGACCTGTACTTGACTGAGAGACCATGCCTCAAGTAGGATAAGGTGGAGAGCAACTAAGGAAAATTCCTGACTTCACCCTGGAGCCTCAGTTCCACATGCACTCATAAGAACATGCATATAGCATGCCTGCGCGTGCACACACACACACACACACACACACACACACATGATCACACACGATAAAAAAAATTCTTTATGCTTTAGAGATAGATACCAAAATGTTTCTAGACGAAATGTTATGCTATCTCTACCAAAATATTATATTGGGAAGAGGTAGGTTGGGACGAAAATGAGATTGAAGATCGAGAGTAGAAATTGGGTGAAGAGGGATTTATTATGCTATTCCTCCATCTTTATGTGGTTCTTATCTTCTTCTTTTTTGGGGGGGGTATCATTATGTATCCCTGGCTAGCCTGAACTCAACATGTAGAGTAGGCTGTCCAGGAAACCAAAGATCTGTGTGTTCCGCTTCCCACGTGCTGAGATTGAAGGCGTATGTGGGATTCTTTTTTTTTTAAGATGAGGTTTCATGGAGACAAGACTGGCCTTGAAGTTAACAAGTTCATATGTAGCTGAATTTCTGACCCTCTGGCCTTCACTTCTTGAGTACTGAGATTGCAGGAGAGTTCCAGCGAGCCTTGCTTATGCAGGACGGCTGGCATCGAACCCAGGACTTCGTGCATACTAAACTAAGCAGGTGCTCTACCAGCTGAGCTACATCTCTGCCTCCAGACTTCTGGAATAGGTTTTTTTTTTGGTTTTTTTTTTTTAAAGAGAAGGGCCATATCTCATATTTCGCTAGACTTCTACTTTGGGGAAACAGTGGGATGAAGAACTGGACAGACGGGGCAAGTGTGGAGCTTGGACAAGACTTAAAAGTGGGTTGGGGCCAGGTTGGAGGCAGCAGGAAGGAAGGTAAAGGGTACGGGCTAGCACTTGTGCGAGAGAGTAGGGAAGAATGGAAAAGGGAAATGAGCCCTCTCCCTTTCTTTGCACTTTTCCTGTACTTGCTACTTACCCTTCTCTCTGTAGATGAGAAACTTGGGAGCTTAGTGAGCAAACCCTGAAATTCCAGTTCAGTTCACAGGGTGCAGGGAGCTACGTTTTCAACAAGTGCCCCTAGGAAACTGGGTATCTAGAACTCCCTGTGAGCCCCAAAACCTAGTCCCTGAGAATAGCTCACGATCTCTCGCTAAATTTCACTTTACCACATCATGACCCAACCACTTTGCCTTCCGAAGCCTGGGTCACAGCAGTTTACTGTTTCAGATCAGGAAATAAGGGGACGAGAATCACAAAGTGGGTGGTACTTACTGGTCTCCTTTAAAGTGTGTGTGGGAACATGGAAAGACAGGGGACCTTTCAGACGGGAAAAAGAGACTTATCAGTCGGCTAAAGTTCGGAAGTCTCCTTTGACTCACTCTGACCCTTTCTCCTTTCTCTGATTTTATATTCACCAAAAAACCTTCTGGTTTTCAATGGATCTCCACTAAAAAGGAAAAAAAATATCTCCAAAACATGTAATGGTTGTCCTAAATTACCCATTTTCCTCTTGATAGTTCTGTTTGTTTTTTGTTTTTCGAGACAGGGTTTCTCTGCAGCTTTGGAGTCTGTCCTGGAACTTGCTCTGTAGACCAGGTTGGCCTCAAACTCACAGAGTCCCCTTCCTCTTCCTCCAGAGTGCTGGGATTAAAAGCGTGTGCCACCACCACCTGGCAATAGTTCTGTCTTATCATCAATTTTAATAAACTGATCTTTTCTTTTCTAAGTCTCTGAAAAGCCAGTTGTTCACAGAACTAGGTCGGCAAAAATCTGACCACCCATCAGATGATTAGCAACGAGCAAATGGATAAACTTTAGACTTTAATGTAATAAACAAGACCATGTATCCCAGCTGACCTAGAACAGCAACCCATGGTTGAGTCTTCAACACACTGGGGCAACTAGACAGATAACTCCTCTGCCTGCACAGTCTTGGCCAGATCCCTCCCGAAAGGAGGAGATGAAAAAATAGGCCTAGGTAATCAAGCTTACTTACCTAGAGCCCCGTGCCTGCTCAGACAGAACAAGGTCTTAGAGAGGTTGAGACCAGGTTGTGGAAAGATGTTCTCAAGCAAATGGGAGCTAAGTTTGCAGGCCGTGTGCCTTGATACTGGTGAAGATAGTCCCAGAGTCTGATGTGGCCTTGTCTGCCACCTCTAATAGAAGAGAGGAAGCAGGAAAGCACAACAACAACTCGACCCACACTCTCTCCCCCAGAACAAGTTGTGACAAGTCAGTTCTAAGAGTTTTCCTCCCTTAGCCCACTTGAAACCACAAGCAAAAAGAAAAGGTCCTATGCCTAAGGCCTTCTGGGAGCTCTGTGTTCCCACTTGTCACTGGTGTTGTGAAGCATTGCTCTTTGAACCAGAACTACCCACGGACCTGCTGGCATCCACTAACTACCACTAACTGGCACTCCCTGGGCTCTAGCACGGCACCTTTCGCCCACCTCAACCTCCAATCCGCCAAGGACCTTCCTGAGGCACATACTATGCTGGGGACATCCAGCGGACAGAAGAACAGGCAGGGGCCCACGAAATCTTACAAGGAAGCTGAAATGCAAACCCCTCAGCACACCTTAGACGCTCAGAAGTAATAACTGAGCCACGCCTCTGCCGGTCTCAAAGACAGGGTAGGGAAATACCATGGGCTATGTTCTGAGGGGGACCAAGACCTCCGTGCAAAATTGGCTCTCCGGAACAGCAGTCAGTTCTCCTAACCTCTGAGCCATCTCTCCAGCCCCGTTTTTGTTTTTCAAGACAGGGTTTCTCTGTAGTTTTGGAGCCTGTTCTGGAACTTGCTTGGTAGACCAGGCTGGCTAGTCTCAAACTCACAGAGATCCTCCTGTCTCTGCCTCCCGAGCGCTGGAATTAAAGGTATGCGCCACCACCCGCCCGGAATTACAGTTCTTAAAGAGTAGGAAGAGCATTCTGTCTGTTGTGCAGAGAATGTGCTTGAGAATTCTGAAGAAAAAAAAAAGCTATGATAGAAAGTCCGAGACTGGCCAGGAGGGGTCGACAGAGCACGCGAGGTAGAGGCAGATGGGAGAAAGTAAACAGAGAATGGGGTAAGAGAAGGAGCAAGGCTCAGCTTCATCAAAAATTGGGCGCCATGGCCCAGAGGCGGGGAAGATGCGCCCCTTAGTGTCCCGGGCGAGCTACAGCATAGATCCGGCGGTCTGGAAGCCCCGCCCAGGCCGCGTTGTCCTCAGACTCCGGGTTCCCTTGTGTGGCGCGGCACTTAAGTTCTGGCTGTGGCGCTCGGGCGGAAGGTTTAGGCGGACGGACCGACGCTGGAGATGGGCTCCGGGTAAGTCCGGGAAGCAGTGGGCTGTGGCTTGTTTCGTTGCTGGTTAGGGTTACCGGAGACGAGGTGAAGGAGAAACGGCAGCGGGCGAGCGACGGGCCTTCGCTGCCGCCTACGCGGGGTGGCCATCTCTGGGCGCTGGCCCCAGGGCCTGCTCCCGGCCTCCCTTCCGTGTGGCCCTGGTCTTCAGCGCGGCTCTGGTTAACAGCGGGATTTTACGCCGGGGCCAGGCCTCCTGTGTTCCCTCTACTCCTGACAGACTTCCGTCCCTGGCCCCTGAGAGTTCCGTCTCCTCTTTCCCCAACTAATGTTTTGGGCTCTTTTTAAAGGTAAAATTCTGCCGGGCGGTGGTGGTGCACGCCTTTAATCCCAGCGCTCGGGAGGCAGAGGCAGGTGGAGCTCTGTGAGTCCGAGGCCAGCCTGGTCTACAAGAGCTAGTTCCAGGACAGGCTCTAAAACTACAGAGAAACCCTGTTTCGAAAAGCAAAAACAAAACAAAACCAAAAACTCAACAACAAATAGAGGTGAAAGTCTATTCTCCAGTTACAGTCCAAATGAAGGATGCTGTGTTTCAGGCCTTTCATTCAGAGACTAATCATCTGAGAACTCAAGAGTCCTATAGGGCAAGTCAGGGTGATAGGAAAACCGAATGTGCACTTAGAAACCGAAGTGGAATCACGTTTTGAGAGGGAGACTCCTGAGACTCCAATTGCTGTGGACGGGCTAATTGTCCCCTTCAGGGTACAACTATAAATATAGCTGATGGCTTTTAGAGCAGTCGGGTGGCGAGGGTGTATCATCAGGAGAAAGAAGAAAGAAGACCCTTAGTTATCTGAAACGTTGGCTGTAAAATGGTATTCACTGGAAAGGTGGCAGGCTGTGCGGGCAAACTTGAAGATCAGAGACAATCCAAGTGAGAAATACATCGTGTTATCTCAAAAGCGAGGCTAGTAGGTTTAATTTTTTTTTTTTTTATTGTTAACTAGGTCTAGACTACTCGAGTGAACCAGCCTTCAGGAACGTTCCATTCTTTCTTTTATCCCAGTGCTTACAACCTGGGTACAAAATTGGATTGCCACAAGTTGGCCACGGCTGAGAACGTGCACTTGGAACCTGACACACATGCCTCAGACAGGAGAAAGAGCCAGCTTCTCAGGTGTCCTCAGAGACAGTCACCCATTGCAGTGCTGACAGCAGATTTCATCGACTAGAAGTACTTGTTGATACCTGATGAGTTATCTGTTTCCCCTTCTCCTAAGAGGTGAGGGCACTATTCTCCATGACCTTCCACTTTTCAAAAGTGTAAAGACCTTCATGCATAAATGTGACCACAAGATCTGGATAAACCGTAACCGAGCAAAGTGTAGGAATCCCAGGTGTCTCTGCTAAAATAGGAAGAAAGGAAGTGTAACTCTGGACAAAGGGTTAAAATTTATAATGTATTTTGCTAATGAATGAACGGTGCATGTTGTGATTAGGGGTAGTTCATTAGTTAGGATCAGATATCTGTTGAGCAGATGTAGCTCTGAGTAGACATTAGTAGGCAAACCCTATTGTGATCCTCGCCCTTAGCTCACTAATACAGTTCTGAACTCATTTTTTCTTGGAGCTGCTCTTCAGAACAGAGTTCTGCAGTGTGGACTTAGAAAAATGCTAGTATATAGCAAATCAGGGCAATAAGGTGCTGGGTTGTGAGGCCATGCCATCTCCCCAAGGGTGGGTATGTTTGCCATGCATTGTTTAATGAGGCAGAGAGAGGGATACATATTTAAATTTTTCTTTCAAGGGCTGGAGTGGCTCATGGGTTAAGAGCACTTCTGAAGGACTTGAGTTAAGCTCTTAGCACCCACATTAGGCAGCTCGCAACCACCTATAATTCCTGCTCCAGGGGATCCAACACCCTCCTCTGGACTCTACTGGGCACCTGCTTCTACTTCGCATGCACTCACACAGACACACACACTGAATAAAAATAAATTCATTTTTCCTTTTTCTTTCAGACTGTCTTAACATTTGGATGTCTAGGAGAGTCTGAAAAAGCAGTTCTTTTCTCTGGGTAAACTTTATTGGTATTGGATACATGAGATGTTACAATATTTGAGATGTATCTCTGGTCCTTGTGGTAAAAAGGCTTCTCCCTTTTGATCTGCCTTCCTAACCCTTACATATAACATTGTTTCCAAGACCCAGTATGTGCTCAGTTTCCAACAATCTACTTATAAGAGGAATTCTAGAATATAGAGTTGGGCATATACCTAACAGGAAATCTGCCTATTGTTAAGTTAGTAAAACTAAATTTTGAACCTGATGAGTCTGCCCTAATTGTGTATAATATATGCAATGTGATTTTTCTTACTTTAGTCTTTTGAGACAGGATTTCATATAACTCAGACTGGCCTCAAACATCTTAGAAACTAATAGTGACCTTGGAATTCTGATCCTCCAGTCTCCACCTCCTGAGAGCCCAAATTACAGGCATGTACAATCGTGGCCTATAATGTCATTTTAAGTTTTTATTTTTTTGAGACAGAGTCTTACTATATAGTCCTGGCTGTCTTGGAACTCACTATGTAATCCAAACTGGCCTTGACCTCACAAATCTACCTCTCAGGTGCTTGGATTAAAGCCGGGGCTAATGCTACCATGCCTGACCTACAGTATGATTTTTATGAATTCACATGCAGTGTACACACACATGCATGCAGGCACAACACACATGTATTATGAATTGCTTTTTTAAAACTTTATTCCTTATACATAAATATTTTCTAAATCTGTGTCATTTATTTTAGCTCTGTAACATTTTATTGCATCTGCAGATTAATAAAGGGGCAGCAGTCTCTATCCACATGAGCAGATCTGTGTGTCTGAGAACTTTATTCTTGAAAACAGAAGCATTTTCTCCATACTGAACTTATTTCGTAATCTTAAAAGAGCTCTTCCTTCCTTCCCTTGCTATATTTTTACTCTTTTACACAGTTGCATGAAGAAATTTTAACTTTCATAGAGATTTTTAATTTTTTTTCCTAAAACAAAGGCACCAAGCCACAGAGGAATTAAACCCTTGCATTAATGCTACAGTATTCCTCAAGGTAGTAGCAAAAAACAAAACAAAACAGTCAATTGTCAGGTAGTACATTGCATTTGATGGCTAGACGCGCTCTTCAATAAATTAAGGCATTGATGTAGGAGTGTTTATTGTATTAAGTTGTGTAAAACTGAAAAGTGTGGAGTTAGGGACTACCTGAGTTTTTGTAATGCACTTCTGCATTTAATGTCCTTGAATTACTCCTGCTTAGTGGGTGTGTCTAGGAGAGGCCATTCACAGTGAACCAGTCTTCTTGTTGTTCTCCCTTAATTCTGTGGGGCTTATCTCCACATATTTCTAGGACACTGGTTAAAATTGTGTTGAAAAACTTTCCTTCCCAGGATATATAAGATCTTAATTCTTTTCCACAGCATTTCTCCAGTTGTAGCTGGCTCTCTGTTCTGAGAGGGAGTGCTAGAATTGTTCCATCATGCCCACTGTGGTGGTAATGGATGTGTCCCTTTCCATGACCCGACCGGTGTCTGTCGAGGGGTCTGAGGAATACCAGCGGAAGCACCTGGCTGCTCACGGCTTGACGATGCTATTTGAACACATGGCCACAAATTACAAGCTTGAATTTACAGCACTGGTGGTTTTTTCATCACTTTGGGAACTGATGGTCCCCTTCACAAGAGATTATAACACCCTGCAGGTACTCACAGGAATCAATCATTGTAGCTACATTTTGACGGAGCCCACATTTACTGGGAGATAACAGTATTGTGGTTGTGGACTAACTTTAGGACTTGGAATTTAGGTATGCAATCTATAACTGAAAACAAGGTTCACATGGTCTTAGCTTTCTGCTGGCAAAACCATGAAATAGAAATGTGCTTTATTTTCTTCTCTTGGACTTTGGAATCTGAGGATAGTGCTCTTTGTGCTAGAATTCAGCATCTTTATGTCTAACATCATTTCTGCCTTCCCATAAAACCTAAGGAACTGAAAAGTGGTCATCCTCGCTTTTAAAAATCATTATTGCAGAAATTCAAAATTACTTTTTCTCTCTGACAGATAGCTTTTTTTGTTTGTTTGTTTGTTTTGTTTTGTTTTTCAGAACAGGATATCTCTATGCAGTCTTGGCTGTTGTGGAACTCTGTAGACCACGCTGGCCTTGAACTCACAGAGATCTGCCTGTCTTTGGGGGGGGGGGG